CAATGATACGCTAGCTTGACAATCGCACGGGTAATAAGAAAATCCGGTACAAACAGGGGATAGATAGTTAAGTAAATTTACAGCTGTTGTGGAAAATCAAAAATTGATTGACCCGACCGAATATTTGCCGATTCGATAAGTTTGTGATTTCGGCAATGATCGCTGCCGAATCAGAACTTATCGATTCTGCTGTTATGTATCGTTGAGGTGTCTGACAAAAACTCACAAAAAAAAAAAAAGACGCATATTCGCACCCTGCCCTCCCTCCTTTAGTAGAACCTTGTCATTTTACAAATCCATCATTTACGACCGGCCTGCATTATTTAGGTGAAAATCACTGACTAATGTTATGCATCGCTAATTTGTCCGCAAAGCCTATGTACAATTGCACTGACGCACTGTATCTCTAACGCTAAAGCAATTTAATAAAATTTTAATATCGGAGGATACCCAACAAAAAATTGGATCATGTGCGTGCGGTCCTTTTCGTGTCAACTTCAAGCATGTCATATCGATATAGAAAAGTTTCAACTTTTAAGTACTTTACTTATAACTACTAATCTTAAATCCTAACTCAAGCTACATAACGAAATTTTATCAAGATCACGTGTTTGAAATTCTTCTGCGTCCTGTATAAGACAGAATTCACAGAAATAGCTTTAAATTTTCAATTTATATATTTTATTAGGAATATTTTATAAAAGATACATTTAATAATGGAAAAGATAGAATACAAAGTACGGTAAATCACATGAAAACTTTAAAAAAACTAATTATGTTTTCTCGGGCTAAGATAAACCATTAATTCTTCGCACTCGTTACCTAAACTACTAAGCTTTTTTAACGGTTCATCAGGATTAACTAATTCGACATCATATTTTCTAAGCATCAAGGCAAAGAAAGTTTTAACACCATTCATTCCCATCTGACGTCCAGGACATATCCTAATCCCTCCACCAAATGGTATATAACTATTTTCTTCAGGTTGTACATTATTTAAAAATCTCTCAGGAATAAATGATTCTGGATCAGGCCAATATGCTTTATTATGATGAATATAGTGAATATTGATAAAAAAGTCTTGGTTTGTTTTCCAGTTAAGATCACCAACCGTATCATCTTTAAGTGCACGCTTATAAAGAAAAGGAACTACTGGCATTATTCGTAGAGTTTCTTTAATACAAGCTTCAGTGTAAACCATTTTTTCAATATCACTATAGGTTACGGGACGTGTTTTATCATCATCAAAGATTCGATCGATTTCTTCATACATTTTAGACTTTGCTACGGGATTTTTACATATGTAATATGTTACAAAACACATTGTAGTTGCAACCTATAACATTAATTACAGAATTCAAAGTTAGCATATGGTCTAATTACTGTACTATTGCTGTACTATTTTCCAAATAATACAATACTCATTCTGAAATCTCACATCCTAATCCCGAATTTCAAAAATCCGAAGAGTTGATCAAACGAATTCAACTTTGGTTAAGATCACTTCAATTTACATATTTTTATCCAAAATTTGTCAGATATTATATACCTCCTATTAATTTTATTCAATTGAAACATAAGAAAAATTTTGAATGGTTACACGAGAATTTATCTAAATTTATACAAATTAGAAGAAAAGAAATTGAAAAATTACCAAAAGGCGAAGTATTAAGCCAAGATATCTTGAGTATATTCATATGTGCTAATACGGAGCGAGATCCACACTTTAGTGAAACAAATGGTGAGCACACAAGACCTATGTCAGATAGGGATATTTCGCAACTTATGATTGAAATGTTAACAGCAGGTATTGAACCGGTAGGTAGATTTCAAAATGAGTATTGTATTATTTGGAAAATAGTACAGCAATAGTACAGTAATTAGACCATATGCTAACTTTGAATTCTGTAATTAATGTTATAGGTTGCAACTACAATGTGTTTTGTAACATATTACATATGTAAAAATCCCGTAGCAAAGTCTAAAATGTATGAAGAAATCGATCGAATCTTTGATGATGATAAAACACGTCCCGTAACCTATAGTGATATTGAAAAAATGGTTTACACTGAAGCTTGTATTAAAGAAACTCTACGAATAATGCCAGTAGTTCCTTTTCTTTATAAGCGTGCACTTAAAGATGATACGGTTGGTGATCTTAACTGGAAAACAAACCAAGACTTTTTTATCAATATTCACTATATTCATCATAATAAAGCATATTGGCCTGATCCAGAATCATTTATTCCTGAGAGATTTTTAAATAATGTACAACCTGAAGAAAATAGTTATATACCATTTGGTGGAGGGATTAGGATATGTCCTGGACGTCAGATGGGAATGAATGGTGTTAAAACTTTCTTTGCCTTGATGCTTAGAAAATATGATGTCGAATTAGTTAATCCTGATGAACCGTTAAAAAAGCTTAGTAGTTTAGGTAACGAGTGCGAAGAATTAATGGTTTATCTTAGCCCGAGAAAACATAATTAGTTTTTTTAAAGTTTTCATGTGATTTACCGTACTTTGTATTCTATCTTTTCCATTATTAAATGTATCTTTTATAAAATATTCCTAATAAAATATATAAATTGAAAATTTAAAGCTATTTCTGTGAATTCTGTCTTATACAGGACGCAGAAGAATTTCAAACACGTGATCTTGATAAAATTTCGTTATGTAGCTTGAGTTAGGATTTAAGATTAGTAGTTATAAGTAAAGTACTTAAAAGTTGAAACTTTTCTATATCGATATGACATGCTTGAAGTTGACACGAAAAGGACCGCACGCACATGATCCAATTTTTTGTTGGGTATCCTCCGATATTAAAATTTTATTAAATTGCTTTAGCGTTAGAGATACAGTGCGTCAGTGCAATTGTACATAGGCTTTGCGGACAAATTAGCGATGCATAACATTAGTCAGTGATTTTCACCTAAATAATGCAGGCCGGTCGTAAATGATGGATTTGTAAAATGACAAGGTTCTACTAAAGGAGGGAGGGCAGGGTGCGAATATGCGTCTTTTTTTTTTTTTGTGAGTTTTTGTCAGACACCTCAACGATACATAACAGCAGAATCGATAAGTTCTGATTCGGCAGCGATCATTGCCGAAATCACAAACTTATCGAATCGGCAAATATTCGGTCGGGTCAATCAATTTTTGATTTTCCACAACAGCTGTAAATTTACTTAACTATCTATCCCCTGTTTGTACCGGATTTTCTTATTACCCGTGCGATTGTCAAGCTAGCGTATCATTG